CCAATGGTCAGGGCACGCAGTGGAAAAGGATCACCAGGAAACAAAGCCAATGGTCAGGGCAGGTGTCGGACAAGCATCACCAGAAGACAAGCTAAGGGCCTGGGTAGGCAGAGGATGAGGATCACCAGGAGACAAAGCCAATGGTCAGAGCAGATGGCCGACAAGGATCACCAGGAGACAAGCTAAGGGTCAGGACAGGCAGCAGATTAGCATCACCAGGAGACAAGCAAAGGGTCAGGGCAGGCAGCAGACAAGGATCACCAGGAGAGGAAGTCAAAGGTCAGGACAGACAAGGATCAACAGAAGGCAAAGTCAAAGATCAAGGGGGGAGACAAGGACCACGGGGAGAAAAACAAAAGGTCGGGGCAGGTGACAGATGAGGATTACTAGGAAACAAGACAAAGGCAGGCAGAGAGAGGGGGAGGCAGAGAGAGGGGGAGGCAGGCAGAGAGAGGGGGAGGCAGGCAGAGAGGGGGGGGGGGGGAGGTTTTTTTTTAGGCAGAGAGAGGGGGAGGCAGGCAGAGAGAGGGGGAGGCAGGCAGAGAGAGGGGGAGGCAGGCAGAGAGAGGAGGGGGTCAGGCAGAGAGAGGGGGAGGAGGAAGGTAAATCACTTGTGCCAAGTTGTAGTTCAGCTGGCAGACATCATGATTTGGAGGGCTCTGCGATATTCTGAGTTTGGGGCGAAGAGACTCTCGTATATTTCAGCCAGAGACGGTTAAACCAAAAACAGGAAGTGTCCCCAATTGTGAGTATTATTTGGGGGGATCGGGCTATGTCTGTTCTGGAAGAGGGCCGGTCATCTGCTACGGACTATGAGCAGCAACAGTCCTTGTCCCCGCTGTGAATATTGCCGGACTCTCTCTGTCGTGTATTTGATATTTGTTGAATAAATATAGTAAAATCAAACCAACAATATTGATCCAAAACCTTCATATTTTCCCCTTAACTCTTCTGTTTTAACCCTTAGTTCTCCAGAAGCCTGAGCATTGATTGGCTGAGGAGGTAACATGATGTAACTTAGCTCCACCCACAAATAATCTGCTCATAAAATGTGTTCTTTTCCATTTCTAATGTGTCTTAAAGCGACAGGACACAAATATAAAAGCTGAACGTGCTGAGCAATTTGTCCTTTCATCATCAGTGTATAAAGGGGAACAGAGACACCCGAGAAGTGGTACTGTGCAGAGTCCAAACATACAGAATAAGAACAGATACCGAGAATGACACCCGGCATACAGGACAAGAGAAGTGGTACTGCGCAGAGTCCAAACATACAGAATAAGAACAGATACTGAGAATGACACCCGGCATACAAGACAAGGGAAGTGGTACTGCACAGAGTCCATACATACAGAATAAGAACAGATACTGAGAATGACACCCGTTGGGGTGTGTTCCAGCATCTGTCTGCTGCTGATTAGAACTCGCAGTGTGTAGAATGTCATATAATGAATTGCTGGTTACACATCGTCATCTCCTGTCACCGCGCTCCTCATTCTTCACAAAATGGTTTTCAATGAAAATGGAAAGTTTTACTTTAAGAGAAAAAACTATAAAAACAAAGCGAATAGAAACGCCACTAAAATGACCCAATAAATCCGACATTCAGCACCTGCAGTACCAGAGTCAGCCACCAGGTGACACCATAACATATCCCGCTTGTATCAGCGATGTGTCTGCATTTAGTTTTGCTACAATTTGTCTCATTTCACATCATGAGTCCAGCTGGTTGTCACAGAAAGTTGAGAAATTGATACAAATTATTATGAGGGGCTCCCACCATCCCTGCGCTGAGTTCCTGGGTCTGTACACCCGCTGTGCCCATTATGAGGGGCTCCCACCATCCCTGCGCTGAGTTCCTGGGTCTGTACACCCGCTGTGCCCATTATGAGGGGCCCCCACCATCCCTGCGCTGAGTTCCTGGGTCTGTACACCCGCTGTGCCCATTATGAGGAGCTCCCACCATCCCTGTGCTGTGTTCCCGGGTCTGTACACCCGCTGTGCCCATTATGAGGGGCTCCCACCATCCCTGCGCTGAGTTCCCGGGTCTGTACACCCGCTGTGCCCATTATGAGGGGCCCCCACCATCCCTGTGCTGTGTTCCCGGGTCTGTACACCCGCTGTGCCCATTATGAGGGGCCCCCACCATCACTGTGCTGAGTTCCTGGGTCTGTACACCTCTCCTCCGCCCCCCATTAGAACTCTCCTCCGCCCCCCCATAGCTCACCTTTCCCGTTGTCTCCTCAGAATTTGCAGCGCTCTCTCCTCTCCGCACACAGAAAGCAAAGTCCACGCACGCCCGCACTTTCCTAAATTTGAGAGAGTTTCGTAATAAATATAAACAGAGACAATCAATAGAGAGAGGCGACTTCTCCCGCCCTCCTCGCACCCACACCGGCGCCACAGACACCAGGGGAGGGGGGTAAATGGGACCCTTCTGATTCCGGTATATGGGTGCTGACCTCCTTCTGGGAATGCCGGCTCTCTGGCTGTTATGCCGAACCACCGACTTCAGTACTATATCAGAACCCAAAATAGGTTCATGGAACAGGAGAAAGCCAGCCAATGGACATTTTCAGAAGACCAGGATGCCCCATGGTCTCTAGGTAACATTGGATGACCCATGGTTTCTAGGTAACATTGGATGCCCCATGGTGCCTGAACATTGGATGCCCCATGGTCTCTGGGTAACATTGGATGCCCCATGGTCTCTGGGTAACATTGGATGCCCCATGGTCTCTAGGTAACATTGGATGACCCATGGTGCCTGGGTAACACTGGATGCCCCATGGTCTCTGGGTAACATTGGATGCCCCATGGTCTCTGGGTAGCATTGGATGCCCCATGGTCTCTGGGTAACACTGGATGCCTCATGGTCTCTGGGTAGCACAGGATGCCCCATGGTCTCTGGGTAACACGGGATGCCTCATGGTCTCTGGGTAGCACAGGATGCCCCATGGTCTCTGGGTAACACGGGATGCCTCATGTTCTCTAGGTAACACGGGATGCCTCATGTTCTCTAGGTAACACGGGATGCCCCATGTTCTCTAGGTAGCACAGGATGCCCCATGTTCTCTAGGTAGCACAGGATGCCCCATGGTCTCTGGGTAACACAGGATGCCCCATGGTCTCTGGGTAACACAGGATGAGCCATGCTCTCTGGGTAACACAGGATGAGCCATGGTCTCTAGGTAACACGGGATGAGCCATGATCTCTAGGTAACACGGGATGCCCCACGGTCTCTGGGTAACACGGGATGCCCCACGGTCTCTAGGTAGCACGGGATGCCCCACGGTCTCTGGGTAACACAGGATGCCCCACGGTCTCTGGGTAACACAGGATGAGCCACGCTCTCTAGGTAACGCGGGATGCCCCACGGTCTCTGGGTAACACGGGATGCCCCACGGTCTCTGGGTAACACGGGATGCCCAACGGTCTCTGGGTAACACGGGATGCCCCACGGTCTCTGGGTAACACGGGATGCCCCACGGTCTCTGGGTAACACGGGATGCCCCACGGTCTCTGGGTAACACGGGATGCCCCACGGTCTCTGGGTAACACGGGATGCCCCACGGTCTCTGGGTAACACGGGATGCCCCACGGTCTCTGGGTAACATTGGATGCCCCATGGTCTCTGGGTAACATTGGATGCCCCATGGTCTCCGGGTAACATTGGATGCCCCATGGTCTCTGGGTAACATTGGATGCCCCATGGTCTCCGGGTAACATTGGATGCCCCATGGTCTCTGGGTAACATTGGATGCCCCATGGTCTCCGGGTAACATTGGATGCCCCATGGTCTCTGGGTAACATTGGATGCCCCCATGGTCTCCGGGTAACACGGGATGCCCCATGGTCTCTGGGTAACATTGGATGCCCCATGGTCTCTGGGTAACATTGGGTGCCCCATGGTCTTCGGGTAACATTGGATGCCCCATGGTCTCTGGGTAACATTGGATGCCCCACGGTCTCTGGGTAACACGGGATGCCCCATGGTCTCTGGGTAACATTGGATGCCCCCATGGTCTCCGGGTAACACGGGATGCCCCATGGTCTCTGGGTAACATTGGATGCCCCATGGTCTCCGGGTAACATTGGATGCCCCATGGTCTCTGGGTAACATTGGATGCCCCATGGTCTCCGGGTAACATTGGATGCCCCATGGTCTCTAGGTAACACAGGATGCCCCATGGTCTCTAGGTAACACAGGATGCCCCTGGGTCAGTTGGTGACACAAGATGTTCGGGAACCAACGGGTGACACAGGACATTCTGGGGCCATGTTGGTGTTTTCAGGAAGCTATGTACAACACCCTGCTGGCTCCTCCCATCTTATGGGGTCTGTGATTAATATGTCATCAGATAACACCCCAGAGGTCCTCCCCAGGTGCAACAGCCTCAGTCAACAGACCCCCCCCAATAAAGAAAACAGCAGAGAATGAGGCCAAGCGCAGGGCCGGGTACCGGCACTGATGAGACACATCAATCTTTATTAAGCATTTGGTATGTTTTGGACTGTTG